GCAAATTCTGAGAACTACTGATCCAAGGGGCCCCAGGCTACAGACTTGGGGCTGGAGAGGCACAAAGGCACTTCACCTCCTATACAAGATGTAGGAAAGGCCCTACCCAAAGGCTGTCAACTACCTTCCAGCCTCTCTTCTCAGCGCTTCTGAAAGGCCAACCTTGCAGCTGGTCTGGGATGTGTTTCAATGAGGGAAGAAATGCCTGGTACAGTCTTGGCACCCAGTAGGTGCTCCACCACAAGCACCTGCTTCCTCTTCCTTATGCTTCTGGAGGCAAAAAGACCTGTTGGTGACCTGAGCCTAAGTGAGTGCTGAGGCGGCTTCTGTGTGAGGAGGGTGGCCTAGGGCTGAGCCCAGCCATCACCAGCAGGGGAATCTCAGGGCAGTGTGAAGGGCGGGACAGAAGGCACCAGGAAGGGACACTGGGCCAAGGGGTGAAGCCACCCACCGGAACAGTGTCCTCGTACACATAGCCATAGTAGGGTATGCCCACGAAGACAGGGGCCGTGTCCTGCACATCCTCCACGTTGACTGTGACCATGGTGGTGGCTGAGAACACCACATCAGCCCCTCGCAGCCTCCCTCCGCCATCCTGGGGAAGAATCAGAGAGTGAAGAGAGTTTGGGGTCTAGAGGCAGACAGACTTCGGTAGAATCTGCCTCTTGCTACTTACTGGCCACAGAGCCAGCTACCCTCTCTGTGTCTGTCTGCTTCTATGTCACTGAAGATAATTCTCCTCTCATAGGAATGTTGGGAAAATTAAACAAGATGATGCGTGAAGGTCTTCAGTCAGTGCCTGGTATGTAGTAGGCACTTAAAAATGGTCTTTTGGAAATAGGCTTAGTTTTCTTTCAAAGAAAATCATGTTGGACAAGTGGCAGAGGAGGGAATCAGAGCCATTTCCCCTCCCACCCAGGAACCACAGGTGCGGCTGTCTCAAGACTCCTGGAAAAGGCTGGACTGGAATGGCCTGTAGCTAACATGTGATCAGCAAGGGACTTTCTGGAGAATTAAACACTAAGCCTGGAGGACTGAGGTTTCCTGTCCCCAGGGAGAAGAGGAGACACGTTGGCTGGGCCCCTGCTGAGTTACTGGTCCCACACCACCGCAGTTTAGAAGCATGAGGAATTTAGTTAAGCCTCAGGGGTGGATTGATGTGGAAACTGATGCTCAGAGAGAGTAACTGGTCACAGACAGAGGAAGTGGTGGGGTGAGCAAGACTGGGAGGTGCCCAGAGGCCAGGTTGTGGGGGATGTAATGGGGCATGAGTCTCTAGGCCATGGCCACCTGATCCAACAAAGGGGAAGCTGGCCTGTCAGTCTTGAGGAGGTGTGTACCATCTCCCAGGAGGGAATATGCTCTCTCCAGCCCACAGATGCCAGCCTCCCTGAAGAATATGTCCATATCTGGGCAAGGTCCACTCAACATAGATTCTGAGCAGAATCATACCTCTGCTCTTCATACTTCATTATAGAACCTGACTCTGTTCCAATCTAAGAGTGGCTTCCTCTGACAAAGGCTGAAAAAAGACTGGATGCTCCCCATTTCTCCCTCTCTATTACCTTGGCAACCACGGTGACGAAATGGGCCCGAGCCTTCTCATAGTCCAAAGTGTTCCCAGCCCTGAGGCGCAGTACACCGCTGTGGTGGTCCACGGCAAATTTGGTGGACTGCATATTCTGTAAGAATGAGGGGCAGGATGGGCCTTGGGGAGGAACCCTGGCCAGCTCCAGAATGCCTACTCTGCTTGCTGAAAAGGGATCTTCACTGTCCTTGGTCACAGGTACTCTGGTTTGGAGCTGAGGTTCAAACTTCAGGACACTCAGCCTTTCTAGTTCTCAGGGTCCTCCTTCCTAGGGCTCTGGGCTTCCCCTCCCACTGCTTCAGGGAAACCAAGGAGTTCTCTTCTAGCAGAGCCATAGCTCTTCTCTCGGCTCAGCTAGAAAACAATTGGGCCAAACTTTGGGCTAAGCTCTGGCCTGGAGGTTCCAGCAGGTAGAAATATCAGCAGAGTGCTCTAACTTAGAGGGTGAGATGTTCAAATTCCACCAAGTTAGTGGCCAGTCCTAGGCAGCATCTGGTGCAGGAGATGATCTGCAATCTAAAACAGAGTTCTTGTGTATCAGGAATTCAGTGAAGATGTGCTCTTATTTTTTCCATTTTACACGTGAGGGAACTGAACTGAGAAAGTTAGATTATGGGTCAAAGGCCCCACAAGTGGTAAGTCGTGGGATCACTCCAGTATTCCTGGAGCCCAGGGAGTTTCTCCAGAACCTGTGTTTTTAACCACCAAGCTGTACTGCTTTGAAAATTGTGAGAGCAAGTGAGTAAATGTGGAGAGAAGAGGAAATGTTACAGAAATGGCAGCCATGTGAAGGGCAGCTGGTTCCTGGGAAGCCCAGGGAGAGGCAGGAGGTGGAGGGAGGGGTTTTGCCTTTGACAGGGTGGGTAGGATGGATGGGGTGGGGTGGGGGCGTCATAGCTCTGTTCCTTCTGAGAGCTGCCCATTCTGCCCTGTTTCCTATTGACAATTCTAGGCCCAAACAACTTTCTTCCACCCTGAGTGGGTGCAAAGTGCCCAGGCTTTCTCCTGGGGAAGGGATGGAGATGGGGAGCTGAGAGTTCTGGAGATCTGGGAGAGGGAAGCAGACCAACTGATAGGGAGCCAGTCAGGGGAAGACAGCTTCCATTCAGGCCCCTCTCATGTCCCCACCTGTCTGTTCTACCTCTGCATTTACTGAGACCTTGTTAAGAGCCAATGTGGCATCTCTGACAATCTTTGGGAATAGTAGAGGCACTGACCTAAGGGCCTTGGTGATTGAGGTGGGGGGCAGCCAGGTGTCCCCTCTAGCCTGGGCCTCTGGTTATGTACTGTGTGCTCTGCCTTACCTGTAGGAAGTAGGTGACGCTCCCTCCAGAACCTGTGTCCTTGTCCACAGCATGGACCTTAAAGATACTGCTCCCAGCAGGTGTGTCCTGAGGGGTTATATAGCCATAGGGGGTCAGTCCTGGGGCAGTGACAGAATGCTCAGGGAACTGGGAGTATGGAGGGCCATGGAAAGGTGGGTTCAGGGGGAGTGAAGGGTTGAAAAGAAGTGGAAAGGTGGTGATTAACCCAGGGAGCCCCCAAAAGGGAGAGGAGCAGTGACAGAGGAGACACATCAGAGTGGGTACAGGAAAGCAGAAAGAGAAAGAAAAGAACAAACAGACATCCTCTCTCTGAAGATGCCGTCAAGGAGAGAATGAAAAAAACTAAGACTCCAAATGATAAAGGGTTTAAATACGAAATGATAACAGGGTTAATAAACACGGACGTGTTCAGCATTACCAGGAATCACATATATTCAGTTTAGAGCCAGAATGAAATATCTTTCTCCTACTGAATTAGTAAACATTAAAAAATTCAAGAATCTCCAGTGTTAGTGTCAGACAGGGAGACAAACCCTCTCCTATATCCTGGGCAAAGATCAGATTGGTATCATTCTGATACCAAGGAATCTGGTAAAACCTCACAGGCTTTTGAAGTGATAGTTTTAAATCTTGGAATGTATCTTAAGGAAATAATTCTAATTTGAGAAAAGGAACTTTTATATTCAGAATTTGATGTTTCTTATGACAGCAAAAATTTAAAGTATCTTAAATATCCAAACATAAGAGAACAGTTCCATAAATGATGGAATGGTCATTTAACAGAAGCTAATAAAATGATAGTTACACAAACTTTACAATTAATGGGGGAAATGCTTATGCTAAAAATTAAGTGAAAAATAGTGTACAGAAAGCATATGCTTAGTATAGTCGCAACTATGTAAAACAAAATAAATCCGATAATCACAAAATGACTAGAAATAAATAGACCAAAATTTAACAATATCATCTCAAGATTTTGACACCTTTTTTCCTGCTTTTCTATGTATTTCACATTTCCACAATAAATGTACATTTTGATTATAATGGAAAATAGTAAATGAACAATTCTTCAGAAGAAAAATGAATGTGTGAGGGGATGGCAATGGAGGTGGAGGGGAGGACATGAAGGACAGCTCTCTCATGGGTACAAGTGATGGAGAGGTGCTCTGCACTCTGATGCATGGTCCCCTTGGCCAGGTCATAGCAGGCAGCCCCAGAAGGCAGACCATGGGTCTGGGATGGGAGTGTATCGGCCTTGCCTAGTGGCCCCTCACTCACCTCAGGAATCTGGACGATGTAAGGCTCCTGGATGAACCTGGGCGCCTCATCATTGGCATCAGTCACCAGGATCACGACTTTTTCTGCCACCTGAGAAGGGGCAAAGGGGACAGGAGTTGAGGCAGCGAGACCTTCTGGTCAATAAAGGGACAGTGGCCCCTAATGCCCCAGGTATATGTCTCTACCTATCCTCATTCCCTCCCTCCTCCCTTCCTTCTTTGATTCATTCATGCAACAAATATTAAGCAAATACTTAGTGCCAAGCACTATGTTCCATCCCAGGGACAGAAGACACGATCTAATGTGTATTTTGCGGGATAAGATGGCAGAGCTAAGATTGGCATATAAAAGAATGGTGATTATATTACTCAGGGTGATAGCAGTGGCATGACAGGCACCGAGGGCAGGGCCCCTGCACTGCATGACTCCATGGCCTAGGTAAATGCATCCCTTGGGGCTATGGGTGCACAGTGCAAGAGGCTGCATCCAGAGGCTCCCAGAAGAGGTATCTAACTGGACTCTGGTGGTGGATGGCAGTGAGTCTTCGCAAAAGAGTGAGAATTAAGCTCTGAAGCAGTTTGTCAGGTGGGAGAGAGAAAGAGGTGAAGGAGCAACACGTACAAAGGCAAAGAGAGTGAAAAGCAAGGTGAGTTCAGAGAACATAAGTAGATTTATGGCTAGATGGTTGGAGGGTGAATGTGGGAGAAAGTGTGGGCAAGGAAGAGAGTGTCTGATTGGGACACCCTGAAGGCCAGACTGAAGCTTGGGTTTCATCCTGAGGGTGCCGAGGGCCAGCTGTTAGTGCTTTCTAAGCTGGGCTGTGGTCAGGCCTGTGTACCACAGTGATGGTTTTGGCTGAGTTTGGAGGTGGATTGGGGTCAGAGAGCCTGTAAGCAGGGGAGCCCCTGAGATTATCAGGGAAGCACTGATGGGGGCCTGGGGTAAAATGGTGGCTGTGGGGAAGGAAGTAAGGGAGAAGCTGGGGTCTGGGTGCCCAGGTGTTCAGCTTAGGTGACCAATGGGGCAGATCCAAGAATCGGGTCAGAGGAGGCAGACAGGAAAGCAGATTTAAAGAGGTGCTGTGGGATGTAGGTATGCTCCATCAGTAGTGCAGCTGATGGATCATGCTCTCTTCATTCTCTCTCTTTTCCTCCCTTTCCCACTGGTCTCACCCACTGCAGCCCTCTTCTGTGAGCACATTGGCTTGGGTTTGCCAGGAGCCTCCATCCACCAGGAGGTTGGAGGAGGGAACTGTGCTCAGGCCCAGGGAGCTGCATGCTGCCAGGGGGCTGGCTCAAGTGTGCACTCACCAGATTCAGGCCGTCAGAAATGCTGATGATGGCTTCAATCTCATCCTCCCTCTGTGAAGCACAAAGACTGAGTGAGTGTCCAGGAGTGACATGTCCTAGGTACTCCCTGAGGCTGGGGGTGGGGGGAGGGCGGGGAGCTGTCCCTGCCCTACTGAGCCCATCAGAGCAGGCCAGGCCATGTTGATTCTGGCCATGCCTGAAACCTTCTTTTGGGAGCGTGCATGTCAGGGGTTCTCATGAACCCAGAGGGATTGTTGAGGCACCAATAGGAAGTGCTCTCTAGCTAGAAGGAGGAGACAAGCTAACATAGTGTGTGGAGGTCTCTGGAAGAAGGGATTTTTCCTTTTTTCTATACCCTTTCCTTCCCCCTCTCTCTTCCATGCCTCTCCATATTCCACATTTCTCCAGAGGTCCTGGTCTGAATCTTAAGCATTCGCCCAGACAAGCTGAGACCTCAGTGAGGAAGAGCGTCAAAATCGCCAAGTTTCTGGGGGTTCCAGGGAGGGGCAGCCCGGTCACACTTCTACCGCGGCAAAATCCAAGTTTCTGGGGGTTCCAGGGAGGGGCAGCCCGGTCACACTTCTACCATCCCCCCTCCCCCTACCACCCCACAGCAGTCTCTGAGACCCACCTTTTACTTTTCCTACTCTGGCCTGTGGCTGGTGGTGTCCACCATCAGACTAAAGCTGGCAGCAGCCCCACAGTTATGTGGCCAGCTGGGCCAACCAGCCTGGTGTGGCATCTCAAATGAAATGTAGCCCATGCCCTGTCACCTGCGGGTTCAGAAGGGTGCATAGGGATGGATTTTTTCCAGACTCAGATCCATTCTCTAAACCACACCTTCCAGCTCTGATCTGCTTTCTGAGTTTTCTGTGGCTTATAGGACCTCTCCAAAGACAGTCTCTAGGGGCCCTTCCAGTTCACCGAGTTTTGTTTGCAGGCAGTAATCCTCGCACCTTCCCATACCTCTCTGTCCAGCTCTTCAACCAGGGTGATGTTTCCAAAACTGGGGTCCACGGAAAAGACGCTTCTAGAGCTGGGGTCGAAGCTGATATGGTAGGAAACAGGGTCTCCCTCGGGGTCTGTTCCATTTAGGGTGTACACATGAGAGCCTGGAAGGAAACAGAAGGGAGATTAAGAATCTGGAACTTTCCTAAAAGTGACAGCAGCTCAGAACCAAGGATTCAAATATTTATACAGTGAATTTGCAATTCAGCGCCAAAGGCATCACCCTGAACTAAGCACTTACTACTGGCCTCGCAGCACTGTTAGTTGCCTCCCACTCTATCCTTATTCTTCATTGTCAGTGAGATATTTGGTATCAACCACTTTACAGATTGTCAGCTATAAGATTGCAGAGGAATTTCCCCTCTGTTGTGCCTAACTCTATGGCCTCTGACTGGTAATGGCTCCTGTTCCAGGATCCAAGATCGGGGGGGCTCTTTGGGGAAGTGGGTAGGGTAAAAAGGAGGTGCCATTAAGGCGGGAGGGGTGGCCCATGGGGCAGCACTTTTCCCCCCTCTGAGGATTAGTTCTTCAGGGATTTCTGAGCAGGTGCCTCTTTTACACTGCTGACTTTTTGCTCAGGGACCCAACCCAGACAGGGCTAGGCAGAGGAAGTGCAAATATCTCTCCTCTTTCTCCTTCCTCTCTCTGCATATCCCAGTGAATCCAGTTAAATGTTCTCAGGCTTGTTTAAAGCCTAAAAGATCTGAGGCTCTGGGGGGTCACTACAGTTGCTCAAGGTCACACAGTGGTTATGGGGCAGTTGCCACCATGCCCAGCCATTACCACTATGCTGAGGACTTCTGCCTGCCCGCTAGGGCCAGCCCTGTCTTCCGGTTCCCAACAGGGTCTCCAGGATTTGCCTGGCTTAGGTCTCCATGGCAGCCCTGACCTTCTTTCCTGCAACTGCCCGGGGGAATTCCAAGCGCAAACAGGGCTCCCCAGGAGCACCGGCAGCCTGGCGCTCTGTGTCTCTGCAGGCTCGGGGGACTCATGGTTCCTTGCTGTGTCCAGGGGAACGAGGGCGGCCCCTCTGGGAGACTTATGGGGGCCAGTGCCAGAGCTCCTCACCAACAGGGGTGTCCTCCGGGAGGCTGAATAGGGCCATGTTTCCGTTAGTGCTGCCGAGCCCGTTGTCGAAGAAGTGCGGGGCGAAGTTGGCCTGGGCTAGGAAGAAAACACGAACAAATGGGCACCCAGACACTCGGAGGAATAACTTTGCATCAGCACGGTCCGGCTTCTGGACCCTGACCTGGGCAAGATGGCACTCCCCTCTCCAGCCCTAGCACACCGACAGACTCGGCTGGGGAGCCACGAAGAGGGTCCCTTTGCCACCACCTATCGTGGACTCCAGCTTGTCAGGGACACGGACCATCTGGGGTGCTTTTTTTTAACCCAGGCAGCGGCCAAACTCAACCCATCAATGGACTGACAGGGAACACGAGCAGAAAGGGACAGCGCCCTGGCCAAGGTCACATCAGGAGAGGGGGGAGCTCTCCCTTGTCCCAATAGATAAGCCTCTCAACCGCCCACCCTGCTTCTGAAGAAGCTGAGGGCAGCGGGGGTCCTGGCCCCAAATCCGGGGTCTCCAGAGTACCGGATTCTGGGGAAGTGCCCCGGGAGCCCCTCTGCCAGCAAAGCCAGGCAACTGGAAGAATCTCCCCTGTCCTCCCTTCCCCATCTCCATTCCCCCAGCCCGAGTCTCACTCTGGAAGTGAACAGTCCAGGTCCAGAATTATGTCTCTGTGTCCCCTGGGTAGCGCCGGCGCCCACCCCTCGCGCCCACGGAGGCCCGGGGGACCCAGTGGCCACTCACCTAGGCAGAGGCACATCAGCCCCAGAGCCAGGACTGTCCGCGGGCCGCGCCTCATGTCTCCGCAGGAGGGTAGTGTCGCTCGCTGCAGATGAGGCCGGGCGCAGGAGCACGGAGCATGCCCCAGGCCCGCTAGGGACACGGAGGTGAGAATGGGGGTGGCGGCAGCGGCGGGAGTGGGCGCAGGGCGGGAGCGGGGGAGCGGGGGTGAGGGCGCTAAGCGGATGACAAGGCTCAGATCTGCGCTGCTGGAGAGCTCCCGCCGGCGCCTAATGAGGCCAATCAGTGTGCGGAAAGCTGAGAGGACCCAGTCCAGCAGCCGGCCGGGGTGAAGAGGGAGGGGTTTGGAGGGCGGACGAGGGCACTCTTCTCTCTTGCCACACTCCCTTCGCCCAACTCTGGAGTGTGGGAGCCAAGGGGCCCCTGGTCTCAGATAGGAGCACTGCGGAGGAGGCCGAATGTCTTCTCCCAGGGTGCCCTGAGCGGGGCACCGGAAATTTGGGGCTTCTCTTGGGGTCCCCAAGTCCCAGTGGATAGGGTTCCTCTGGAGATTTCCCTTTTTCTATAAACTTCCTCTGTGACTTTCAGGGAGTTCGCTGCTCTCTCTGAGCCTGAGGTTCCAAACTGTAACCCAGTCTCAGACTAGAGAGATCCTTCCCTAGAAATGGGGGGAAGAGAGGGGCGGCAGTAGATGGGCTTGGGGAGGGCACTGTCTTCCAGGACAAATAGGTTCCAGGGATAGTGTCCCTGAAGGCTTTAGGGGTGAGATCAAAAGACAAAGAGGAGGATTGTGGTCTGGAGAGAAGCAGATGGTGAGGGGTTATCAGGACCCCCTTGTCTAGGACCTCAACCCATTCCTGCCCTGTCTCCAGACCAGGTAAGCTGTCCCAGAGGGTCTGCTCAAAAGTGGAGGCTCATTTGTGTGGTGGGCAGCAGGCAGGGTCTTCAAGTCTCCACAAAGGTGGGAGGCAGAAGTTGCCAGGCAGCAGGCTGGCCTCCCTCCCCATTTCCAGAACAAGGTCGGTGATCATGGAGAAGCAGCAGACACACTTAAGCCTTGCAAGGAACAGTTTGAAGACAGATTCAAGTCCTATCTTGAGACAGACTTGCTAATAGAGCTGGCTAACACTAGTATGGACTGCCCCAAGAGGGTGAGCTCCCCGTCCCTGGGAATATAGTTAGGCAAAGCAAGCCACTGCTGTGGGGACCTTGGATGCTCAGATCTAGAAGAAGCAGGTGAGCTCTGAGCCTTTCTGGTTGCTGATGAATTTCCCTGGGCTGGATGCTTATTTTCTTGCTCTGACACTGGAGTTTGGTTGGAGAAGAAGCCTAGTCCCTTTCTACTCACAGTGGGCACAGGGCAGTCACTTCAGGCCCAAGCTTGTCCATGCCCCGAGATGCCTTTGGGAGGGTTTGTCAACAGACGGAGGAGACTCCTTTGTGTGCTTTCTGGGGAGGCCTCCGTGGCTGCGTGGCTGCGGTCTCGACATTCCTCCCTAGGGGTTTTCTCAGGAATAGAACACCCCCTGCCTGCACCCCCCTCCCCAGCACTCCTTGATACACTTTTAGCAAGGATTAGGGATTAAGGATAAGGAGAAAATGATTCAGTGGTCCTAGAGTGTTGGCAATTTTCAGACCCAATTAACCAAAATGCTTCTTGTTGAAGAGTTTGGCCCTTTGGCTAGAAAGATGCACTTTATTTTTTAGATTTAAAAATTTTTAGTTTTCAATTGCAGTTGACATTCAATATATTATTTTATATTAGTTTCTGGTGTATAGCTTAGTGGTTAGACATTTATATAGTTTACAAAGTTATCCCTCTGATTAGTCTAGTACTCCTCTGGCACTACACATAGTTATTAAATAGATACAGAGAACAAACTGGTGATTGCCAGATG